ATGGAAATTGTCTACGTTCTTCAAAACCTGCAAAATGGTCGGCGTTTTCAAGAGTTTGTGAACATATCTAAAAGCTACATATTGTAAATTATAGAATAAATTTCAGTCTTATTCGGAAACTAAAAATAACTCAATTCCAATCGCCATGGAAACTGTCGTCTGATAATATATTGATTGATAAGCATTCGAAAACCCTGGCCATTGTCACGAGACTGAATATGGCAGGCTTAGAAGATTAAGAAGAAATGCAGTGGCATTTGTGAAAACAGGCAAAACGAATTATTAAGATCCCCTTGAGTATTATTGGATGTTATCATTAACATACAGATACACTTTGATCTCCCATATTTTGTTATTTAAATATGGCATTACGTCACATATTACAAATTATGTAATCTGTTTTCTTACACTGGGAAATTAATTGTTAATATGTAATAATATATATATATAAATATTGTGATGTAATACACATACTTATTTATGATTTATTTTTCACATTATTCCTGTTATTGGTGTGAGGATACTATGTACAGACTGTATTTTACTCCCAGTAAGCTCTGTATACTTTAAACCGCCGCTGTTTAGTATGTGTCTCAATGCTTTGCTGGCATGAGTAAATTGCGTACAGCGGAAAACATAGGGCTTGCATTTTGACATTTTCCGGTTGCGAGTACGCGTCAGCACGCTAATTCTCAGTAGTCTATTCAATGAAATCGTACGTGTTTCGACTTCTTTTCTTGTGAATACAAAAGCATTTGTCTTGTTGAGCAGGGTGAGTCGTACTATGTGTGGTTAAACTCAAGGAAAAATTATATTCGGAATAATAGCAGATAACAGAATAACACTGCATACCTGTAGTTTTAACAATAAACGTATAAACATGTGTAATGATTGGGAGTAGTGACATAAAATAAATATATTTCACAAAGAAATTAATTAGAATTACGTGTTCATTTAGTACACTATTTACATTCATTGAAATTCGTCTGTAGAACGGTAAATTGGCACGCTGTTTTTTATTTAGATATATATAGATATTATGTTAGCATTAGAGTAAATCACTTATTAGGCTTCCTTGTCTCTATTTAATCAGAAATCGGCGAAAATGTCAACAGATGTCAATGTCGATGCACATGATGGAATCGTTAGTTGTCATCCGTCGTATTTATTCTATGATAATCAATATTGACGTTACCCTTTCTGCTCGATTTCATTTCCCCTGTATTCGTCTTCGTTTTAAGTGATATACATGTATGTGACGTGACGTCTCTCACAATTGTGGTGATTTTAAAACAAATAGTTCGTGTTAAGAGTGACCGATAGACCGACAGTAAAACACTCAGTAATGTTTTATTTATTAAAGTATTATCCGTACGCATATATTACAGTTTTCACCGCCCACGAGAAGCATTTTTAAATGATTCATGTCCGTGACAGCGTCAGCATGACAGCGCCATAGTTCTGATGAACCCAGAAACTTACTAAACGATAAATGGTCTATATTTATTTAGAACCGGATAATAATGAAAGCATGCACACCAAGGGAAATGTTTTAATATTTCCGCCAAATGCCATAATTTAAATAGAAAGCTTAAATCGCGGTGGTCGTCACGCAGCGCGTGTTCTAATTTCAAGTAAATAAACAATGTATTTTACACGCGTTGTATACGTCGCTATGAGTCCCATATCGAACAAGACGCGGCACGACGACTGCCGCCCTTTAACATTTTCTTGGATATATTATGCAAATTTAGGTCGCAGTGCTACCGCCCATTGTGTTATCAGCTGAAACTATTGATTACTTGGATTGGAATCTCCTTCATTTTTAATAACATCCTGACATAGGAAACAATCTTGATTGAAACGAGACAATAGGTAATCTTTTTTTTCAAAATGGAAGTGAGTAGGCCCACGGTGGCTGTGTGGAGGCCACGAGGGGGGTAAATCTTTGTATCTCGAAGAATGAATCGAGCAAGGAAATATATATGTATATGTAGATATGTGTTTTGCGACCCTCAATTTCAATACATATAAAAATATATTCATTACTCGTCACTGTCTTTCATTTGGAAATTATTGTTCCGTTACATTCGCAAAAAAATGTGTCATGCTTTCAATGGATGGTTCAATTTTCGGACAGTGTGTATGGCGACTTTTTACCACAATTATCACCACTTATATATTCACTCACATTTTTGTGTTATCTTTAGTATATTCTTGAGGTAATTTAGAGGAAGTTGAAATAAACATTTCTTGTTTGAAAAGTCTCCAAGATGGATTTAATAGTATTAACTGTAGGACACGTAATGCTTTCGTGGGCGTTAAACTGTTGATTCGATTTGAACTGATCTCGGCTGATTTGTGACATGATTATATGTCAAACGTGTTTTATTTAAAGTTATCTACACAAGTTGTCTCTGTTCTTCGATGTCAACTTAGTTCTTAGTGCACGGTAAATGGAAATTCAAAAAAAAACAGCCATCACGTTAATTATATTTTAACATCGTTTTCATCTGATGAACTCTATTTTAACACTATTGTCTGAATACTTAACCATGATATATAACTGTTTAAACAAGTCCGACTTGCAGAAAAACAACAACAAGGGAATAGTCTTATATACATGTATATACCTGATTTCCGATTTAATAATGAAAAACAAACTGTTCGATCCTAAACTGTTTTCATAAAATTAAAACACGGAACGGAAAAATATTCTTATCTCTGGCATGTGCATGCAACATATTTAAATTCTCGTAAATACTAGCGACATCGCCGGCAAAACCATGAACAGCTACTACCGTCCGATTACTAGCATAGATAATGTATATATGGCTATGTTCGCATTCAGTAACACTGGCAGGCATGGTCTAACATAGAAATATCTCAGTTGAACTTAAATTGTCGTCAAACTTAGCGCATTCATGAGTTCTCTCACGAATGGCAATTAGACACACTTTTACGAACACCAAACACGCAATTATTACGCGGCGGTCACAAATTATGACGTCAGCGGAGAATTGGTGCGTTTATGCATTTTTAAATATTTTGGATATGAATATTTCAAATCACGCTGAAATCATTCTAGACTGCAGTTATAATTCAGTGTATTTATTTTTAAAATAATGTAGATATATTTTATATCATTGTTATATTTGACTAGGATACATATGACCACCCTTTGTATTTGGTATCACTGAGATCATTTTTGCAGATTCATTATGAACACGTAAATTAATTAAAATACGACAATAATGGTAAAACGATTGATTGGATCAAACTCAATGATTACTATGCCGGACTGTGTGTATTTCCAACGTATTATCATTCTCTGAAGTGACCTATTTCAAATACGTCATTCAAAATAAACCGACATGTCTGTCAGAGCCGATCACGACATCCAAGTTGTCATTACGCGAATGATACGACCATAACAGACTGTCGCATGATTTACTAATTGTGGGGGTAATAAAACACACCCGGAATTAAAAAAAAATAGCTTCGTTTCGGATAATTGAAATCACAGTTGTAATTTAAAGTTAATTGAGCAATTAAGTTTAATAAAAGCTAGTCATTTTTGTCCACGAATTTCTACCTATTATATTGCAATAGGAATCACATGAAATGAATATTGCACCAATTTTTGTTCAATAAATATTATATGATGTCCATAATACTGATTTTTGCTCGTCGTAACTATCAAGATAATGATGGACAAGTTCAATATTTTGTCATAAGGAATGCATCTTATATACATCACATTGCTATGTGGTTAGCTTATAGGTTAATTGCAATGATTCGACATGTTTAAGGCAACAAATGCGATGCCGTGAGTGGTTTAACATTCCTGGTTAAAATAGAGTATCGACTTCACGTTGACCAAATACTAGAACGCAGCTGTACACACATACCTGCGAAGAGTTAACTGAGCACTGGAAATTAATATGTCACAAAGGATCGCCAGGATATCAACGTCTTTAAACTAGAAATAGAAACTAGAATTAATGTAAATTAAACACACTCCTACACACTTTACGAATCAATTTTAGTTTTTACGTTTATAGATTAACGTTGTTATAAAACTCTCAATGAATTCAATGTGTTCCCAGAATGCATTGCCATCCTACTATAATCGTAAAACAAAACTCCTTTGTATTTGATAGCAATAACTCGCATATATCTTAACAAAATATGAATTATGTTAGCTTTTTTCCACCATGTCAAATTGGCAATCTCAACTACCTTGTCTTTCTATAATATGTGCATTCACTGCAGAGAACTGAAACCCATTTAAAGCCTCATTAAAATAACATCACTACGTAGTAGACGCATCAATAACAAATGAAACGAAATATTGTCAGTGAATAAGGCACTGTTTTTTTTTTTTTAAAACTAGTTATTTATATTCACAGTAAAAACGTTAGATTGAATTTTCTTGAAATTAAGGGAAACAAATGCTTGGTGACCTACTTCGAATTCATGCGACTATAATGCAATTAACTTCCCAAATAATGCGAAATGTCTCTCGCTCTGACAGTCTTGTAAGTGACGAGCTGCTTTGATTCGGTTTATGTCTAAATTTATCGGCCTTTTATCCAGAGATGCGCCCGTATGTAACCACACACTTGAAGACTGGTTGTCCAAAAGCCATCTAGTGTACGCGGTCTCATTAGTTATACAGGCGAATAAGATCCCTCAGTATTGCGTTTTGAATCATTTTAATACGCTTATGTCCGATGTGAGGGTAAGTGCTCTCGACTTGGACAAACGGACAAGTTAATCTAAAACACGGAATGAGGTATATCTGTTGCGATCGTAAAAACAAAATAGCCTGTGGGGAATCCCTATCCCTATCTGAAAAAATGAAATAGTCCACTTGCCAGTGAGATGGGCGATATGAGGTGAAACATATTAGTAGATACGTTTTGCAATAAGTGAACATTGACCTTACAATATATTCTCCGATATAGTACTTAACGTGTGACTTATTTTTATCGCAGTTGTCTCATGCCTCGGAGCTAGTGTTACGCCGACGGAGTCAAGTCCGACCGAGGCGCCCTCGTCTATAGCTAAAGAGGATTTGTCACCAGAACCGACAATGGGAGATGATTCCACGGAAGGTGACAATGATGACGAGAGTGATGACGTCACGCCACCTGCGGCCGTCGTAAAGGAAACATCGCCGGTATTGTTTATTACATTCATGTACTTTCATATATATCTTTGAATTGAATTGAACTACTGAGATCATGGAGGTAAAAAAAAAGATTTTTTTTTTACCTCCATGCTGAGATGCAGCCAGCAATTACTAAATTGTGCTCTCAGTTCATGTTTGGCCATCAGGGGCGGGGTTCATGATCACTCTCTTACATGGCAAACTTTAGCGCGCTAGTATGTGTTTGAAGAGTTTGTGATTAATTAATTTATTTATTTACAGTATGACACATGCATGACGAAATAAAGAAATACATACAATTTACTATATTTATCATAAAGTGTATACTCTAAAATAAATAATTTGACTGGCGAAGACAAGGCGTGGTTTGTTTCGCCATCCACCATGATCATTAATTTAATTAGATACACTTAATTACTAGTTGTTTTGTTTTAATTATTAAGGTAATGTGGCCCCTATGAATTAATTATTGCAGCCGGTTTCAATGTTTTCCGCAAATGTTATAGGCGACATTAATTTCCATGCAATTAACATATCAGTGGTCATTCGTTTCTTTATTCACAAAAAAAAAAAAAACAAAAAAAAAAAACGTAAAATCGTTGATGACAGTACCTTGATGACTTAATTCTCGGGTTCATGTCATCTATAGCTATTCGGTAGCAACCAAAAAACAATAAAACTAAGGTTACATAATGCATTAAATTCATGAACCTTTTTTATCGTTTTTATCGTTTAGGCCAATGTGGAAGTGGAAACGACAGAAGAAAGTGCAGCAACTACTGAGTCGCCGATAGAGCAGACGACAGAGCCGTCGGTCCCTAAAGTAGGTAACTTCAGTTTGAAAGACAAAAATGGCAACATCTGTTTAAAAGCCGTGTTTGCAGCCTGGTTTGAATGTGGATATTACAGCGGCGATGAGTCGAGCGTAAGTAGACATTATTGCATAGCGTTATGTTTATGTATGGATGCAAGGTGATCTTCAAAACGAACAGAAAAAATCGAAAACGATATGGTATGAATGATACGATAGAAAAATGTGTTAAGATGTAATACAAATTTCAATACACTATGTATAATGTGTAATATCAATCATTATATAATGTCCTTCCAATCTCCCTCCATACAGCCCACATTCCTCACCACACTGGTACCGATGTTTGACAACAGCAGAGTTGACGGCAAATGTGGAGACATCTATGAACAATCTATTCTCAACATTCGGTGGGGAGGTGACAAATATTTATTGAAAATGACGTTCGACACGGTGAGTGTAAACTTTTAACATCTGGGTAACAATTAGACTATACTTAGTGGCCGTTGCATTAATTACGTTGAACATGAAATGAGTTTCCTTCGCTTGGAACCCATTAAAGGGGCATGCATGCAGTTTTTGCATATTGATTTCGTAGATTTTAATTACGTTATATTGAGGCAACATAACATTATTTTACCATATAGTGTAAGCCGTTATCTGCAGGACGTGACACGTTTCATAGGTACAGACCAAGTTAAGTTTCACATATTAGCTTGGGTGTCGTACGTCAATGTCCTTGTGTGATTTACATGCTTTGAAATAATAAGGACATGTAAGAATATAATAATATGTTCCCAAGCAGCCTCATTATTGATGCCGTTATACAAAATGTATGAGTAAAAGACAATGTGTGTGATAACGCTATTCACAAAGTAATACAGATAACGTTTTCAACATGTAATACATGTTTTAATAAACATGGTCAATAACAGTCGCTTATCGTGCAATAATTCTTCATATCGACTCAAGTGAGGGCGCTAAGTGTTTTTCTTCCAAAAAAACGACCAGACGGTGTATAAATATTCTAAAATTCATGAAAATGTTAATGAAAATTCGGCGCTAGGTTGAAGAAAGTATACATCTTCTCAGTACTGACATGTAGTATGCTGATTCGATTGTCAAATAACAATTACGCAACAGTGACGTCAGAAGTTAACATTAACAAGCGGGTGATTACATTATCATCTTTTAAATACATATTTACTACCAATTTTCATATTTAAATACGACCACGCAATAATAAATGTATGGTTTAAGGGCGATACTAATGATATTCAGATATTCAACTGGGCCTTTATAAATCCGATAAATGAGACTGCTTTAAAGAACGTTTTCCTTTAAATTTAAGAATGGCTTTCGAATCTCACTGCAAATAACGTTAACCGAAATATGTACATATAACTTTGTTGTTTTACTCTTGCTAGGATCAAACAAACTCAAGCAAGGAAGTTGGAACGTGGTTCGCCAAGTCCCTTCACTTTACCTATGATACAAGTGACAAAACATATTTCACGGACGCTGTGAACGGTTAGTAGAACAACAATCACCGTAACACTAGTGATTGTTTTTTTTTAGTCGAAAGGTCGAATTCAAGATGACAACATCACTTAAGGGTAGAAACGGTTATCGTCCTATCCGGTCTAGCGTACTTACCTGAGGGATTAACTGCTCAGAGTAACAGGTGACAGAACCCATTATGTTGTTGACCAATGCTGTGCGTACGCCATTCTAATCAGCTATCCCTCCATTGTGGTCTGTGTCTCTTTTAGAATATCAGATCACACTCTGCCCAACAAATTTGTGTCTTATACAAAATATGTGAGTATAATATATAATTCAATAAACTGTTTGTTTCTGTGTTTGTCACCACTAGCCGGTTCAAGGACAGTACAGACGTATGAAGACACCACGTTTTTCGATACCCCATTAAAGCAATCCTTTATGTGCCAAACGCAGGACAACATTAAGATGGGGTCAGAGGACAGTGAAGAAAAAGTCATTCTAAAGATTTCCAATTTGCAAATCCAGCCATATGAGGTAGAAGATGACATGTTCAGTGAAGGTAGGCATAGATCTGATATATTCATGTGTATCAGTTGGCTTCTGAATTAATGGTTCGTTACTGATTAGACGCGTGGTTCTGACTTTTAATTATGTTATACATTAGATTTAACGATCTATTGATTCATATGAAATGCGAATTAAGACGAATCTGCTCGGTCGATTAAAAATCTGTTATGTAGATTGAATGACTTCTCAGTAAAATGTACTGCCGCATTGTATCCAATACATGTAAAATGTCCTAAACTCAGA